CCCTGGTCAGAACATCATCCATCAGACAATGTTCAACCAGAGTCAGAAGGTCTCACTCTGATTGCTGCTCCAGATGAGATGATTTCTGCAGAGAAATTGGTTCAAAATGATCACGTTGTAGAATGCTCTGAGAAGCATTCAGTTACTGAAGATTCTCCAGCTTCCTCCTATGAAAGGCAAACTCTGGAAGAACTGAAGAGATCGGACATTGTTATTCAGGAAAGGTTGGATAAACAGGATGATACAATCAAGGAAATCAAGAGCATGTTAAGCAAACAAGAGGAAACCAACACCCAGATCAAGGGCTTGTTGGAAGCTTTGTTCACACGCCTTCCTCCTCCCTCTCAGATTTCTCTTTTAAAATCTGTTTATCTGTAATATTTATTCTACATTACTGTTGTTCTGAACTTCTTATCATTGCTTCTTATTTTTAATATAAATCCTTTTTAGCGCTGATTATATGTTTTTTTTATAACTGACAAAAAGGGGGAGAAAGAATAAGATATTTTCAATAACGGATTACTGAGACAGAAGTCTCAAACATTCTAAACTACTTAACTTCTTTCTTCTGAAAAGCTTGAACAGGTACAAAACTCTGATGAATCTGATGAAAGACGTAGCCAAATTCTGATGCTCAAGGAGTCAAAGAATTTAAGGGAAGTAATCAACTCAGGGGGAGTTTTTTCTTCTCAATTCTATACTTTTTATTCTTTATATTTTAATTGAAAAATATGGTTTTTGTCATCATCAAAAAGGGGGAGATTGTTAGAACATAGTTTGATTCTACAACCCTTGGTTAGAGTTTTGATGATAACAAATACAAATAATAAATAAATACAAAGAAATATATACAAAGAACAAATATGCTCCTTAAAATTATGTTTTGTATATGCAGAAGTTCTGATGGGATCAACATCAGAAGATAAGCAATAAAAGATTTCACGCTGAAGTTATCAGATTATATGCTAAAGATTGGTGACCAGAACCTGCGCTAAATGACAACAAACTCTGATTTTAAACTAAGACATATCAACCAAGTCATCTATATTCTGAAGCGTCATCATCAGTTAAGGATAGAAGACTCTGAAGCGTTACTGATTATTCAAGACAGAATTAATGCCAACGGCTTTCTTCAGACAAGATCTTCTACAAAAGGAAAGTGTGTTATTAACATTAAACTTGCTTTATGGACAACGTATCTTGCTTGCCTATATAAACAAGTCTTCTTGTGAAAGAAGCACGTACGTGCGCATACATCAATTTGCAGAGAATTCCAAAATCATGCATATTCAAGCTCTAGCAAATTTATTCTATACTATAAGCTTAACTTATGTAATTATCACAGTAGTGATAAACTGTTTTGTTAGAAAACAACAACACATTCTTGTTCAATTATTTGTAACAGATTTCCTTGAGATTAACAGGTTTGTGGTTATACTCAAGAAGACTTTAACAGTTGTTAAAGTAGTTGTTGTAATCTTTTGAGATTAGTGGATTAAGGCCTCGTTGGAGAGAGGCGAAATCACCTTGACGGGTGGATTGGAGTAGTTTGAGATTAAACGAACCAGGATAAAAATATTGTGTATTTAAGCTGTTTTTGATCCAAGTTTTTCAATTCAACCCCCCCTTCTTGTGTTTTTCACATCTTCAAGTTTGACATTCAAAGTTCTCATAACTCTCTCTACTCTTCTCTCAAGACTCAAGAGAAAAAAATTCAAAAACTCAAATCTACATCCAAGAATATCTCTCTCTCTCTCTCTCTCTCTCTCTCTCTCTCTCTCTCTCTCTCTCTCTCTCTCTCTCTCTTCGTGCAACCTCTCTCTGCCACAGCTCCCCTCGCCAGCAACAATCGAAGATTTATTCTCCCCAGCCAGATGTCGTTACAAGAAGTTACAAATACACTTCAACAACATTTTACATTCATACATCATTTACAAACATCATAGCATATGCATACGAAACGCATAAAGCATTCTCATTTATTTTGAGAGAATCATTACGCAATGCATTACATGCATCATGCTATTGCATAAAACTAAATTTGTCTTTTCAGGTCAGTTCTCGAACAGATAGATCTTGTCAATAGTTTATCCTCTTTCCGATACAATCACACAGTGATTCATTCTGATAAACACATATTTCAAACACAATCCGTCGAAGATATAGTTCGGATACGATCTAGATATAGATTCATTCTGGAACTCATTCTAGATTGTCTTCCAGATACAGTTCAGATACGATCTAGATATAGATTCATTCTGGCACTCATTCTAGATTCTCTTCCAGATACAGTTCAGATACAATCTAGATATAAATTCATTCTGGAACTCATTCCAGATTCTCTTTTAGATACAGTTCAGATATGATCTAGATATAGATTCATTCTGGAACTCATTCCAGATTCTCTTTCAGATACAGTTTAGATATGATCTAGATATAGATTCATTCTTGCACTCATTCCAGATTCTCTTTCAGATATAGTTCAGATACGATCTAGATATATACTCATTTTAGAACTCATTCCAGATTATCTTTCAAATACAGTTCAGATACGATCCAGATATGGATGTCATTCTGATACTCATTCAATACATCTTTCAGATACAGTTCAGATAAGATCTATATATGGATGTCATTCTGACACTCATTCAGTACATCTTTCAGATACAGTTCACATATGTACCAGATACGAATGTCATTCTGATACTCATTCAGTATATATTTCAGTTACGATTCAGGTATGGATGTCATTCTGGAACTCATTCAGTACATCTTTCAGATACAATTCAGATACGATCCAGATATGGATTTCATTTTGATACTCATTCAGTACATCTTCCAGATAAAGTTTAGATACGATCTAGATATAGATTTATTTTGGAATTCATTCCAATACCTCTTCTAGTTAAAGTCGAGCATAGACCTTTTCTGGCACAGATTAAATCGAGCATAGATTTATTCTGATACTTCTCCCAGTTAAAGACAAGCATAAACATCTTCTGGTTGAGATTAAATCAAGTGTAAATTTATTCTGGTTATCCTTTTGGACCAAGTCGGGCGTAGACTCACTCCAAATACATCTTCTAAAGATAAAGTAGGGCGTAGACTTAGTCTGATTCTCTTATCAACAGTTATCCTGGATGGCATCTATAAGCCCATCTCCGATGACTCTCCATCACCTCTGGATGGAATCTATAAGCCCGTCTTCGACGACTCCCCGTCACTCTCAAAATGGCATCTATAAGTCCATCTCCGACAATATTCTGTCACTCTCCAAATGGCATCTTTAAGCCCATTCCCGATATAATCAACCAACAGTGTTACTTTGTGCATCGGCAAGTGAAAATTTCTGGGCACTTAAGTGTTCAATCATCTTCTACCTTTAAGTCACGAATGATGGATGCACCAATCTAACTCTTCAGGTTTAAGGAGATTGAACAGGGGCAGCTGTTGTACTCCAAAATTTTCCCTCCCTTTTCTTTAAGACATTCTCTTAGGGTTTTCAACTACTCAAGGCTACCAAGGCTTCTCAGGCCTCAATACATGTCAATTGATATTTTATTTCATCAAGGGTTCAGGGTTGCAAGTGTTTCAAAAGTGAATCATATTATATTCTATCTATTGGCTCTTGTGCAAGGGTTTTGATTATTGAATTTATGACGTCTTTCTTGACAAAATCTTGGAAGCATTATCATAATGAGTATTGTCTCAATACAAGGTCGATCATCAGTTAAGAATCATCAAGTGGATTAGGGTTTCATCTTGAAATCACTATTCTTCATCAACATCATGCAAGGCTTTTCTTCTTCAAAGGCTCCAAGGAGCATGACCTAGGGTTTTTAATTCATTGTGCTGGAACTTGGAAAAAGTTGCAATTGAGGGTAAATATCTCATGGCTATCATTAGTATTTTCTTTTCAACATTTCCAGCTTGATTTTCACTTGAGATCTTCCACTAGTTACTTACATTGCGAGCAGGTCATATGGACTAATGTTTTCAAGGGTTTGAGCTCAAAAATAAGGTTTCTTGTAGACCATGGTTGGAGTTGCATCTTCTTATATTTGCACCTATCAAGTGAGCCATGGTTTTGGGATTTGACTATTGTAGTTTCATCTTATGATTAACGTTTCGTGGAAACTATTTTTCTTCAATTCAAAGGATGCTAGGGTTTTGGGCATCATGATTCAAGTGTGGTATCTCCATTCAATTGTGGTGTGATACTGTGCATAAATTATGAAAGTCCTTTGAATTCAAGCATGAGTTAGCGTCATTTAATCCAAGTATGATTTACATGTCTGATTAAATTGCGAAAGTCCCCCTGGAAACAAGAATGATATATCATGACTTGAGTTCAAATGCATACACGATTAAGTTCCCTGACTTTGGTCAAAGTCAAAGTCAAAGTCAAAGTCAACTTTAGAAAGTTGACTTTTTTACTAAAGTTGTACTTAATGTTCACCTAATTTATGATTTTTAGATTCAAGTGTTGAAAGAATAAAAAAGGATCAAGTGGAATGACAATTGGAAATATGGAATTAAAGGTTTTCAAGCAAGTTTCATCAACTGGCCAAATATGTTAGCTTACACGATTATGGGTCAAGAAATTTTTTCCAAACTCCATTCATAGTTCCTCCAATATTACAAATGTGTAGTTTATAAAATGTGTTGCTAGCTTTACATTTTTGAAGGATTACAAGGTTATGAAACATTGTCCTAAACTTAAGTTCCTAAAATACAAAAAAGGGCTAGAGTTGCTGCCAAGAGACCAGGCCTGCTGCACAATCATGCTTGCTGCAAAAGAAAACTCATACCGATATGTTGTTGTGGCATCAAATCTCAGACCATGTAATCTTTGTCCAACCTACACATGTAACAAAAGAAAGGAAATGGTTAGCAAGACAATCAATGAGTCAAGAACAAGAAGCTTCTAAGCAAGTATTTTGCATTTCAGCATTAGGTATTTGTAACAGGAATAAAAAATAAGGGAGTTGAATTCAATCATGTTCATAAGAAACAGTCAAAAGCCTCATATCCTTTTGTTTCACAACAAAAAAATCAGTATTAAAATGTTTAATCATGGGTCTGTTTTTCTTTACTACAAATCTAAAACAAATGCACAAAAACGGACTTGTTTGGTTCACAGTAAATGTAAATCAGAAAAGCAATCTAGTTCAAGCCCAATAACAGATAACAGAATCGCATCATTACAAATCATAGTTCCAGCCCAACAACAAATCACTGCAGTAAAGCTTAAGTTATAAAAATAAACAGATAACAAATTATCAAACCCAAACAAAATCAGAGGCCTGTTAATCGAAAACTCAATCAAAGAACACAAGGGAAACCCTAAAAGTTCATAGTATATAAGCAATCATTGCACTAAAGTCAAGGGGGAGAAAAAGTAATGTTCAAATCAGAAAGGGAAAAGTTGCGCATAAACCCTAAAGCAATTTCGTCATTTCCCTCAAACAACCCTTTTTAGATCTCAAAAAATATATACACACAAATCACAGACTCAAAATCAAACCGTAATCATCATTTTCATTTTTATTCAAAAAATCCCTTCAGAAAAAGAAAAGAAATCTCAAGTTCATAAACAAAGTCAGAAGAACACTACTGAAAACCTCAGAAGGTTAGAGATCGCGGATTCGAATGCTCTGGATTTCGTCTCTCTTTCTTTTCCTTTCCGTTTTCATTTGCATTAGCATCAATCACGATATAGCCACCAAGGTTGTTCGCATCTGAGACTTAGGGTTTCAAGAATCCCTTTTAGATCTAGCCTTAACCTTTGAGAATCTGTAAAATTATGCCATAGATTAGAAGAGAGAGTGAATACAGGAATCGAAATATTAAAAAAAGTGAAATCGGAGCAAGATAGCCCCCCGCCGCCGCTTCCTCCGCCGTGGGGCGATTCTCAGCATGGTGGATTTCTCTTCTTCGGCAAGCTCCGATGATAGCTCTTTAGAGATAACCGAGAGAGCTATTATTGACAGAGAGATGAATTTGTTGATTTTTGATTAATTTTTTCATTTTGATAACTTAATTCTTTTGTTTAAGAGCTAATTATATAGCAATACATGTCACACATTCCATACAACATCTCTCTCAGGGCTCACCGTACACCCTTCGTTTGCATCCCTATGATTGATATCAAGCGCTCTAATGATGCCTCCCTACCATGCACCCTCAGATGCTTCAAATGTTGGATCACAGACCTGTAGTTGGGCCTGGACATCAGCTGCTATCAGCACACCCCATATTTTCTTCAATTAGGCCCAATAACTCTCTCCATTTCTCTTTACTTGAGTTTACACATTATTTGTTTTTATTTTGTTTATTAATTTATTTTAGTATTATACTTAGATTTGTAAATAGAATAATATTGTTTTAAATAATTATTAACTTTAAAATAATTTTTGCTTGACATTATTAATTAATTTTATCAAATGAAAAGAGTTTTAATTTAAATAATTATTTAATAGTTTGGACTTGTATTGTGAAATTATAGCTTGAGTGTTTATTTCTTATGTCATCCCCATTCACAAACTTGTACCCCCATTCCCGAAGCGTTGTAATAACGTAGAATTTTATTTTTCGCACTTTATTGCATTTACTTATCATTGTATAGTAATTAGGCGTGTATGGAAAGGTTTAAAATCAACCGCTAGATAACCCTAATCAAGACCAATTAACTGAAATCAAAACATAATTCACATATGCACCTCTAGGGTAGTCTCGCTTGTTGCCTTCAGATAAAACAGTCATGTCCCTAGAACATGGGACACTTTAGAAAAGACTCTCAGTTAAAAGATTGTAGTCCCTCGATGACCCTTCAATGTTGCCTCCGCTAAACAATCTTAGTCTCTTACGATAATTGCTAAAGCGTCCTACAAGTTTCCTTTTATGACTATACGATGACCCGCCTGTCCCGCACATCCAATGATAGGGCTTCCTACTAACTAATGGTAGGATAGCACTATCTAAAGGAGGAGGAAAAGAACAAAAAACCTTTTGAGTAGGTAGATCTCTCGTAATTGCTTTCTCGCAAACTAAAACAATCTTCACACCTCACACTTTCAAAACAACTATTTTTAAAACACTTTATAAACACTCTTGAGGACTAATACAAGGGTTATTATAAAGCGAACTGCCTTACATTGGCATCTTCAAAACACTTTCACAAAACCACACCTTCTTTTAAAATATTTTCAAAACAAACATTTTGTATACATTCTCAATGATACGAGAATCATTACAAAATTGCCGCACTTAGGCATTTTCAAAATATTTTCAAACATACATAAAGCATTTTAAAGTGAGCTAGCGATTAAGAGCCTGTAGATAACTAAGGATGAAAAGGGTTCTAACATCTTCCCTTTTCATAACCTACCCCCCGAACTCATAAAATTCTCAAAGGTCTTTCCTGTTATTTTCACCCTTTCCTTTATTGGATAAAATAAAAGTTGGTGGAGACTCTTGCTATCCGCAACATTTGCGATAAAACGCAAAACCAAAAGTCAATTATCCCAGCGTATTACAATACTCTTCAAGCTTTATGTGTTTACCTTTTATTGCATAATTACATGCTCCTGTAGGATTTCTCGATTCAATTTTTAGGTAGTGAATTGAGATAGACCTTAGGTTGCAAACCATGCATACTAACATAGGTAGATTTCCCCTTTATCCTCAACTATAGCATCAATTTTACATGACAACTCTAGGCTTACTTTGCTAGTCTCCCTTGGACTTTTTTCTTTCTCTTTTGCATTTGTATTAAAACTAAAACTCCTTTTTCTTTAAAACTCATAAAAACACTATAATACTACAAAAATCCTTTTTCAAGGTAAAAAATACCAACCAATTAAAACTTCATTTTACCGCTTGGATTTTTCTTTTAAAACCCCTTTTCAAGGTAAAAACATACAATAAATTGAAACATGTGAGCCAAACTACGACGCTCTGATTCCTCGAAAGGGTTACGTAGGAATTAGGTTGCGGGGACGAGGCAATCAAAACTTTGTAAATATTCCTTCTTTTCCCCGTATTTTCTTTCACATGCAGTCCCTCTTAGCATTAAGCTTTAGACATCGATTTTTACACACCCTTAGATTAGAGCAAACTTAATTGGATCTTGTGGAGTACCACAGACACGTGAGGTGCTAATACCTTTCCTTGTGTAACCGACTTTTATACTCTTTCTCTTGGTCGTGATACCATCTTATTCATTTATTTAGGGGTTATCTCTATATCTTCCCTTCCTTCAGGATAAATAGAGTTTGGTGGTGACTCTATGTTTTTTTTCGTAGTGCGACACCGAGGAGCAATCAAATGTTGGTTGTTCCCGACAATACTCAGAAAGAGAGCCATGGATTGGTATAAGAGCCTCCTTGATGAGTCCTTCACCTCTTGGAAGGGATTAGGGAGACAATTCTCAAGGATTTTCATGGTATCTCTCTGACATCCCAAGTCAGAAGCTGCACCCGAGGCCATCCTCCAGGGGAAGGATGAGTCCCTTTAAGCATACAATGAAAGGTTCAACCAGGAAGCCGTCCAGGTCACCATGACCGATGAAATGAAGAAGTATCTCCTCGAGCAAGGCTAGCACCCTCGTAATGACTTCACCAAAGTAGTTGCCATCGATACTCTTGCAACACTGGATTCCCTCATTCTCAAAGCTAAGGCATACAACCAGTACAAGGAGAAAGACCACTAACAACGCCAGAGACTCGCAACATCGTGAGAATGAAAAAGTCCCAAATAATGATGAGCCCTCGAAATCCCGTCAGGGAGGAAAAAATAACAGAGAGGACAAATCCCGTGATTTAAAGACAACAGACAGATCGCTTCCATGACTACACGCCTCTCAACTCTTCGTGCGAGCAGATTCTGATAGAATGCACCAACTCAAAGTTCAAGTAAGTTGGGGTACGCTTTCCCCGTCAAACATCGCCTAAGCTAGGGACTGAAAAAAGAAATTATTGTCGGTTTCACAAAAGTCACGAGCATAATACAAACTACTGCTTCTACCTGAAGGATTCCATCGAGATACCCATCCATGATGGGCATCTAAAACGGTATAAAAAGAAGGAATGTGCCCGCGAAGATGCCCAGGAGTCTAAGAAAGTGGAAGAAGAGAATCCTTCCCCGATGCGAGCCTCATGCCCGTCGCCTTAAGCATTATCAGGCCTAAGAACTTCTACTTTCCCAACCTAGATGAAGTCCCTCTATACTTTGCAACTCATAGCCCTTGGGAGACATTTCCAGTTGCAATGACCATATCTGACGAAGGCTTCAACAAGTGTACAATGGGATCGGTCAAGAGGAGATTCGAACAATTCATGGATGGTAGCTTCGAGAAGAGTGACACCCTCGATAAAGTCAGGGTGAGCTCTGTCCCCATTGTGTTCTACAGATAAGAGATTCCTGATGGGCCCCCTAACTCTAGTATTCCTCTACTCGTGAGAGAGCACATGGCCAATTTTAACGTTAGAAGAATCTTGGTCAACCAAGGAAGCTCGGTGGATATAATATACTCCCAGTTGTTCACTACCCTGCAGCTGAACGAGACGCATCTGACCCCTTATGTTGGCTCCGACCTCTAGGGATTCAACGGCTCTATCACCAAGCCTTGGGGATATGTCGAGCTGATTGTTACATTCAGGGTGAGAGAAATATTCGGGTCTGTTAATTCTCTACTTTTATGGTTGGGATTATGTTTGGTAAAAATAATAGAGAAACAATATGTTAAATAGGATGTGATTACTTGCTACGAAGAACAGGTTAAGAAAGAAGTCCTATTTTATGTTGGGACATGTTGATTTGAAATGTTTCAACATTTGGAGAAACATGTTGGATAAGATGTCCTATGCAGGGTCATACACCCGAACTAAGTTGAACAATTGATTTTGTTATGATTTAACATATGCAGAATATTCTGGAAATATTATGCAATATTATGTGGTTCTGATTTGTAGGTCAAGAAGAATCAAGAAGAATATTGAATTTTCAAATATGGAGATAATTTATGAAGGATTTGATTGAAGACCTATTTTGTAGTAGAATTTTCTATAGAATTGTAACAACTGATGAGTTGTGATTGAAGGCCCAAATCCAGTTGGGTATAGGTTATGAATATAAATCTTTGTAACCTAGAAAAGTATCTAGTCGTGAATTAAAAAAATGTAATCATTAGGGTTGAGTTTGTAAACCACTCTCTAGGAGATTTGGTTTGTGTGATCCACTTGACATGTGAGTTGGATTG